TATATATATATATACATATATATACTGAGAAAAAATCCTATTAATTCACTTAAAGACTTAAAGTCTATATTACGGGCTGTTACTAATATAAGTCATTAATTCATGTATATTTTTATTAACATAAATAACATAAATTATTATTTCATATATCAATAATCAAAATCTTTATATCAATAAAAATATATGAATTAATTACTTATATGTGAATTAATTACTTAGTGACAACCCGTAATATATACTTTAATTGAATCAATAGCATTTGTTTCTTAGTGTATATAATGTATTTATAATGCAATATATCCAGAGAATTATGATATATTATCAAAGTGTTATAACTAGTAAACAAACAAATAAACATCCGAAATAAACCTGAATGTAACTAAAGAAAAAAAGTTTGGCATTTTTTACCGTGTAATGTGGATGTTAATATTCGGTGGCTATTGAATGTTCAACCATTCAATATCACATATTATGTCGAACCCATCATGTCTATTTCTACTTACTCATTTCTGTTATTCTCTAAAATTGTATCAGTGAAAATATTATTAATTAAAACTTGTAAAATAGCATTTTATTAAGAATCAGTGAGTATTTCACTGATTTTTAGTATAAAACACTCACGCTGTGCTTATGCATCCTGTATTTTCTCCAGCTAAATATTCCTGAAATATCACAAAAGGCTCCTAAAATTAAAAAAAAAACTGTTCTAACAGTATTCCGGAATATTCCAAAATATTTACGGAATATAAAAGTAACAATATCAAATAGTGATTAAAAATTCTATTTATATGTATATCGTTATATATTCCAAGATTGTTCCATGTATATTCTATAAAATTTTAATTTTTCTAGAGATTCTAAGCCTGATCGTTCTTGAATCAATTTTTAAACACTTCATACTTTCACTTTCGATCCCAATTCTGACTTTATAGGCGAAACGCTGCGCTCCTTATATATTCTCTCCCAAATAATTCTTGTTAACAAGTAAATATTCTTCGCGCGGCCCTCTATCGGCGGAAATGATGTATACTATTTGCTCACGAATGATTTTCTTGATACAAAGAATATTCTTGCAATATTCTAAATATTGCACATAATCTTGCATACAAAGAATATTCTTGCAATATTCTTAATATTGCATATTTCATCGATTTGAATTTTGTGTTATTTTTTGACTATACCGGAATATTCGGCACATTGAGAATATGAATCGAACTTTCTGAATAAATATTTTGATGGGTCATTAATTATGTAGATCAATGCAAAAAAAATTTCATTATAAAATCAGAAAGAAATTAATAAGAATTAATAAGAATTACTAAGAATTACATATTATAGTACAGGTAAAACTATATTTATTTAAAAAATCAATTTTTATTAAAAATTAGATAATCATTGAGAAATAATTTTATTTTTAACTGCTGATTTTAATGCTTAATAAATATTTCGTAAATTTACATATCAATAATTTAAGGATTATTGTAACAAACACAGAATTTGGAAATCTGGCATTCTCACAATGTTTCAGTATAAAAATCTCTCTTAAGACGAATTGAAGCAAGAATTTTTCGATAACAAGCGCAGATTGTAATTGAATTAAAATTTATTGTTAATTTATTCTTTTAATCATGACTAAGAATTATTGATCTTTTATTTATTTCAATATTATGATTGCGAACTCTTTTAATATTATGATTGCAAACTATTTTTATATTATTTATATTTTATACTGAAGATGGCTTGATATAGACCGAAACATAATTTGTATCTTTAATGTAAGAATTTTAAATACATGGCATTAGCAAAAAACATCCTGCGCGTGACTAAATACTCTTTGTATTTTATACTTTTTGTAATTTGTAAGCTATTAGTAAATTTATAAATTTACTCTGATAGTAATACTTATGCTAATATATAAATTAATATTAATCTCAACATATTTTTTACCTTTTTTTTTGTTCTAAAAGATAGGAAAAAAATATTTTAATCTCTTTCGGTTTAATTTAAATTAAATTAAATTTAAATTAATTTGCATTCACGGAAACGTATATAAATGGCCTGATACAATATATGGCCTTGAACAGTTGTACAAATAAGGCTCAAATAATATGTCAATGTTACACAATAAAAATTATTTAACTTGTTCTTCAATTACATGCAAGTACAATTCGTGTTCTAAATTGTTTCCTTAGTTATATTATTTCTACAAACGTATAAAAATTATTGAGATATTATAATATTTCAGTTTTTCATTTTGTATGTATTTAAACTTCTATTAATAATTTTTATACGTTTATATTATTTTAAAGAATCGACTCTTATTTGCTTTTTTATTTTATAGAAAGGACTTTAAGAGTCCTTGACTGGTTTATATATATTTTTTATATTATTTTCAAACTGCACTATATGATTTCATAGATATACCATATATAGTGCCCGCCAAAAATTCCGGGCCGACTAATAATATCTAAATATCTAAATCTCAGAAAGTATGCATTTTTGAAAAATGTTTTAGACAAAAATTGTAGGGTTTAAAAAGATCTATTCATTAATCTGATCAGTTTAATCTTGGAGTGTCGCTAAAATCAAATCAAGATCACATCGATTTTTTTAAATTGGACATCCTATTTTTGATTCTAGAATCTAACTGATATCAAAATCTTTTTGAAACACTACTATGAAGTTCATTTTCATTAAGTATTTTCGAGTTTTTCGAGTTATAACTTAAAAGTTGCAGTACTATCATTAATATTAGAGATATCCGATCAACAACTAAGATCTCTTGTGAATGTTGCAGAATCATGCTCTGAATAACATTTGTTAAAATCAAGATCATTGGAGATTGTTTCTCTTATTTTCGTTTCGCTTATTTTTTGCACTCAAAATTCATTTTTAAAAATAAAAATAAGAGGAAAAAACTTCCAATAACCTTCATTTTGACAAATGTTATCCGGGTCATAATTCTGAAAAACATTCAAGAGATCGTCGTTCAGATCTTGCGCAATGCTAATGCCGATTTATTATTTAACGGTAATACTGTTAAAAAATTTCTTTTTTAAGCAAAACTTTTAAGCCTTATAATTCAAAAAATATTTAATAGAAAATAATTTTATTATAGTGTTTTGAAAAGCTGTTAACATCAACTATTAAATTCTGGCATAAAAAATGATATTCCATTAAAAAAAATTGATGTGACCTTGACCTGACATTGGAGATATCACCCAAAGTCAAACTGATAAAGTCAACTGATAAAATCATGACATAGATCTTTTTAAACTCTTTAAATAATTTTGTCTAAAATATTTTTCTTAAAAATGTATACTTTTTGAGACATCCAACCGGAAATCTGAAACTTTTAGCGGGCACTGTATATCTCGTATTGAGTTTTTTTATTAGTCTTAAAAAGTACAGCAATTTTTATTGCATTGACGAATTAAATTGATATATTTGTTGGCTTATTTTGTCTAATTTAAGAAATAAAGAAAAGAGATTATTACTTGAGAATTATTACTTAAGATTTTCTGTAAATATTCTCAATATATTATTAGAGGAAAGGCCCCTATTATGAGATACCGAGTTCATTTTGGATAAATGCTAAAAATGTATGGGCAGAATTAAAAAAAATAATAGGTCATTTTGAAGGGAATAATAAGAGCTTTAAGATAGCATTATATAAAATTTAATTCAAATTCCATTTTTTTTTAAATTAAAGAAATGTAAAAAGTGAGCAAATCACTAAGTCAAAAAATTATGTTTTTAATATAAGATGCCCCCCCCCCGAGAAATTGATAGTAAAATATATTAGTATTGCTAATAAAAAACTTTATTTAATGTTTCTACAAACAAACACAGCTAGCGAAAAATGAGTATGAGATACATTATACCTAAAATCCATGTTCAGGTAGTTGAAATCAAGAAATAACAGAAATAAGTACGTTTATTCCGGTTGTCCTTTTTATTATCGTACAAAAACATATATACTTTAGCAATATGATTTTCACTATGACATGGGAGCATGGATTATTTCATATTATAAATAACTCTCATATTATAATTTCCACGCCTTACGGTTTTACGATCATCAAATCTAACTTCTGTTAATTAAGCAATTTAACATATCCCGTATTTTTTTGTTAGTACGACTTTACTCTATCACTACATGAAGAATTTATTGCTATATTTATTTATTAAATAATAAATAAGATCTAATAAAGGCTCAATAAAACTTGAAAACATGATCTAAATTCTAAAATCTTTTTTTACAATGACTACAGGCATGATCTAAAAGTGAATTTTCTACTAAACAGTTTTCAATCCAAGAGCTATACATTCATGATGGAACCAATAGATAATGTTTATTAGTTTATAACAGAAACGCCGCTATTTCATATTAGGCGCCTATCTCATAATAGGAGGCTTTCCTCTATATTTTAAGATATAAAATTATTTAAACTTAAATTACTTACACGGAAAATTTAAGGAAAAATTATATATAGAAAATTATATGATTAAAATTATATGACTAAAATTATATGATTAAAATTTATATAACTAAAATTATCTATAAAATAAACAAATGTGGTCTAAGTCCTAAGAACTTACAGTTGTCCGTAATGTTTGCTCGTTTGCAACTTAAACTTTTCTTCTTTTAAGAACTTGCAGATTATTCAAAATTTCTATTGAATGTTATATTGTTTTTATAAAAACAGGTTTTTTTTTTTAATTATGGTACACACAATGTGACAATTAAATTCTCGGACTAGCTATAAAAAAAGCTATAAAAAAAAAGATCAAAAATATTATTAATGTTATCATTTAATATAGTCCTCATTCGATTCCGAACAATATTTCCTTACGTTTTTAGCATTGCGTCTCTTTTTATTACTTATACTAAAAAATGAATTAATAGCGTTTTTCATTAGCAAATTGATGCACGTTTAATGCATATTAAGGTTATTGTTTATTGAGGATGTATTTTACATTACTTTAATCTAAATGGGAAAGTGAAATACCTCAATTGATAAAATGCCAAAATGTATATTTTATTAAATAGCATAATAAAATGTATTAAAGATTTTTCAATTTAACTTGTTTCTATATTTTTATTAAACATACGTCTTTTACTTTACGTTAATTTGTGTACTTATAACAGTTTAAAAATGCACTGTGTGCGCATTAATTCTGCCAATGGAAAAATTATAAATGATGATATAAATAAATATTTTTAATTTTTTTGTGAATTTTTGATGGCCTCAGTTTGGAAATTTAATTGTCACACTGTATATTAAATTGTATACACATATATCATAGAATTCATTAATTAAGATTATTTTTATTTATATGTTTTCACACATATCTCATTCCATCATTGGCAAGATAATACCATATTTTCAATAATGTATCAAAAAATGTATTATAATGTAATTATAACATTTGTCACGTTGTGACTTTACTTAAAATTTTCATCAACAAATATCAGCATCAAAAGGATACAATATTGATAAAGAATAATTGAATTCACTGACCTGTAAATTACTCGTTTTCAACTTCAATCGTTTAAATGCTCACTTAAACAAATTGCACTGTTTTATACTAAAGCTAGTTGTGAAATGATACATGTCAGACACGTGATACAGCTTTATATATAGTGACAAGCTTTATATATATATTTACATCTATCATGCATTCATCTATTCATCACAAGCCTTATATATACATAGGAGATTCATAAGTAATTGAGGCTTGGTAAACTCCAATTTGTCTTTATAATAAAGTAGACATTAATCTAATTAAATAACAAAGCGATGATAAAAGGATAACATATGTCATTGTTTCTCCTTTCAGGAAGTTATTTGGTGCAATTATAAAATCACACAGTAAATGTTACGACATTATGCAAGTCATTATATTAATCTCCTATTATTAATTTCCATTTGTGTCATTTTTTTAATGATTTTGCTGATGTAATTGACATAGTATTGAAATAATAAAAAAAATTTCATCATGATGCTGTAACATAGATATTTAATTTATATCCGAGATTTTAATACGTGGCAATAATAAAACATTTTATCAATACATTATTAATCAGGAACACAGTGTCAATACACGGGCGCATAAGATCGTGTACATGTATATTTAAAAAAATTGTGTTAAATAAAAAATAAGAATCAAGTGATACTATATTTAATTTTTATAATAAATGATACATATCTTTGTGTATTTCTATTGAAAGATTTTCCTATTCTAACTCAAGTATATAGTAGTGGCTTTACAATTCTTCTTAAGATATAATTATATAATTAAATTGCATATGTATTTTTCAAAAAGATACAAAATTTTTAAATTATGCCAATTGCAAAAAGAATGTGTGTGTGTGTGTGTGTGTGTGTGTGTGTGTGTGTGTGTATTTCAATTTTCACTTTTTACATTTTTGTTATAGAGAAAAAAATTACACGATCGATATTCTGGATAATAAGAAAAAAGAAAATTTTTGTATGGCTCTCAAAATTAATTAATAATTAAAAAAATTAGAATAGAACGCAAATATTAAAACGCAATAAAATTTACAGTATAATTTCAGTACTTAGACTATACATATCGTTCGAATGTTTCGACTCTTCTAAAATTATACTGTAAATTTTATTGCGCTCTAATACTTATATTTTACTTTCATTTATCTTAATTTTGCTATTGAAATTTAAATGTATAATTTATGAAACAATTTATTTCAAATTATATTAAAAATGTAATATAATAAAATCTATGTTTTTTTATATCTAGGACTTTAGTCTAGGAATGTTTTAAATGAAAAAGTATATTTTGGAACATCAAAATTGTGATTCAGCATTTCAAAAATATTAAAAATATAAATATAACATTTTGCTATAAATATTTTTAAAAAAGGAGATTCCAAGAGGAGTATCATCTTTTGAATTCTCGATAGTTGGATTAGAAATCTATTCACCTCGATATTGAGACGTCATATTTAGAAACGTTATGTTTAAGAAGTTGTGGTAATAAAGTTGATAGTTTGCGAAAATGACAAACAGATGCAGTATAATAGCTGCGATTAAATAGTTAGATTTATTACATAATTTATAGCATAGCACCACGTTATTTATAACATATTGCATCTCTTATATCATTCTTTAATTGAGTAATGCCGATATTGCGGATATAATTAACCTTAGCTATATACACTAGGGACCTAGCAAACGAGAATGGATTAAAATTTTTTTAATACATACTTTAAATCCATGAAAATGGATTGAAATGGATTGAATCCGAGCTGATACTAGCTAATATATTCAAAAGTTACAAATTTTATTCTTAAGACATTTGTAATAATAATTATATCTATTATTAATTACTTCAAATTAGTATTAAAAAACGCACCTTAGTGGGATTCGAATCTAGGACTTCTGGATTATAAATCTTCTATCGTTATACCAATTTGTTTCTTCAATTGGTAAATATGTTATTCGTTCTCTACTTCAATTACAACTAACTGAATTAGTAACGAAATTGTATAAAAATTATATAATAAAAATATCATCATTAACAGATATAATAAATAATTTACATCACTATGAGATAACATTGGCTAAGTGTCGAATAATCTAATCTCGCTTGGCCGATATCGCGTACCGTGATTAGCTTAATATTCGAGCTATGTTCGACTTGGTGAAATTTTGCGAATTTCATTTCGATCATTTATTTTACTTCTAATCAAAGAGAAACTAAAGAATACAGCTCAATTATTTTTACGTTAACTTTTTTAAACTTAGTGGAAACTTGGATTAAAATAAAAAACTTCTTACTTATAATTTTAAATAATTTAAGTAGCATTTATGGTCCATTTTTAAATAAAAACTTTTTTTATTAATTAGATTGAAAAATTACATTTCAGAATATTGAATTGAGCAGTATTCACATTGCACAGAAATTGCTGATATTATTTTTGAATTTAACTGAATTAAAAAAATTGTTTCTATTCACAATTCTGAATTGAATAGTATGCACGATAAAAAATCACAGAAAATGCTAATATTATTTTTAGATTGAAAGGCATAGAGATATGCTCTTTGCAATTTCTATAAATAAATAAAAATGTATTCGGAATTGAAAAGACATAGACACTTGCTTTATGCAATTCCTATAAATGAATAAAAATACATTCAGATTGAAAAGGATTCATTTTAATATTCATGAATCCGTATTTCTGAAAATCTAACTCCATTTTAATCTATTTCAATCCATTCTCGTTTGCTGAGTCATTTAATAATTACGTTAAATTATTCATTCTCAGAGTTTAATTCTAGTTCTATTAATTTGATATATAAATATAAAAAATCAAAAAATTTAGCTTTTTTTCTAATAATAAAAATTCAGTTTTAATAATAAAAATCACATAAACGTAAAATTATGTAAAAATCATACAAATATTCGCTCAGCGTAATTTGTACTTATATTTGTCATTTTTTGTTTAACATTATCAATCTTTTATCTTGTTATTATATATCAGAGAGAAACTTGATGAGAGTCGCGTATGTCTCAATCTTTTTCGTGTATCGAATCTCGTAGGATAATGTCTATATTTTTGTGGTTCTCTTCCGTGCTATACAAGGCTATCAAAATTAATTATTCATCCTTGTAATAGCAATCTATGTAATAGCATGGAAGAAAATCATAAAAACGTGGAAATTACTCTACGAGATTTTGGTATATAAAAAAGGTCGGTATAATCACTCTCAGGTCTCTCTGGTTATTTATATATACGGGTGAACCAGAATTATTGAATCAACTTTTTATCCTATGAGAAAATTATCGACTGCACGCACGTTATAATCCAATTAGGTATGAAGTCGATAATTTTCTCATAAGGTAAAAAGTTGATTCAACAACTCTGATTCCCTGTATAAAAATCTTGAACATAAAGAAAAATAAGTACTGCCGCTTATGTATATTTTACATATACATAATTTTAAAGAAGAAATTTACTTTGATTATTGAACGATCTATTTTTGTTCAAAAGGAATTATTTTAGGAGATACAGCTATCACGTATAAATCACATCTTCAATATTTTATTAATAGTGATTTGTTATTATTGCTATCATAAATAAGCATTACAATAATTTTTTGCGTCAATAACGCATATAACGTAAGGCGCATTCCTTAGAAAAATAATATGTATAAAAAGTGATATTATATAACGTAACAAATTGCAATCATCTGTTTTTCTCTTTTTCTGGCTTCTGTATCCTTTCGTTATTTATTTTATGTAATACTGCGATAATTCAGCGCTTTTATACATAAGAACAGAAAAACTGTTTCAGCCGAAAGATATTCAGCTGATCTCTGCCGTAGGAATATGGGCGTATCTCCTAATCGGATAATCGGTACAAATCTGTGATATAATCGAGAAAACATGATGATACTATGTTGCATATCGATTTAACTGCAACAACTTTGCGGTTTAGGATCCAAGCCTGAACGTTTGGTAATATTTATGCGCGTAAACTCCTCCGCTACAGTTGGATGAATACCAACAGTAGACTTCAGTTTCGGAATTGTTAAGCCACATCTAAAAATATTATGAAATATAAATTATGGAATTCTGAAATCAAATTTTTGAAGAAATTATTGACGAATCATTTTTTGGATAAAACTTACTTAATAGCAGTCGCAAATCCTTGAATTACTTCGCCTGCATTGGGTCCGACAAAATGCATTCCGAGTACCGTTTCATTACCGTTTCTAAGCGCGATAACCTTTACATAACAACGATCGACGTTCTTTTGGGGTATAAAGAATTCTGTTGGTTTGTAGTACGCATGAAAAATCTCTATCTCCTGTTCTCCGTGGAGCGCGATTGCCGCTTCTTCGCTCAATCCGACGCATCCATATTCCAAAGGAGTGAATACTGTCGTTGCTACATTTATGTAATCCATTTGCTCGATCGAATTACCATATAATCTTCTAGCTAGCAGTTTACCCGCTTGTATAGCAACGGGCGTTAATTCAGGTTTTTTCTATAAAAAATATACAAAAATTTTCTATTATATTTGTAATTTAACTCATAATTTAATATGAGAAATATTAAAATGATAAAAAATATCTAGAACTATCTAAACTATGCACCATCTATTTTCAAGATAAAATCATTATAAAATGTTGAAAAAAACTTACATAAAGTACGTCACCAACCGCGTAAATGTTTGGAACGTTCGTTTGTTCGTTAACTGCGTCAATCTTGCCAGTTTCTGGAACAAGTTTCAATCCGATATTTTCTGGTTTCAATTCTTGAGTGAGCGATTGTCGGCCGATAGCAAATAGAACAGTATCATATACATCTTGATGAATTTGGCCATCCTAAAAAAATTATATTATATTGCACTCTAATGTAGACTTATTTTTTCATTTGCATATATAAGTTTGTCAACAAATGCTTACTTTGTCGACCCAGTCGACTAGAAGACGGTCATCCTCTTGTTTTGAAACTTTCTTAAGCTTTGACTCATAATTAAACTTCACACCGCGTTGCTGCATCTCTTCGACAATATGAGTTGCCATTTGCCGATCAAATCCACGCAACA